GGGTGGAGTTCTGTTACCCTTGATAGGTTACGCAGTAACCTGTAGTAAGGAATAACAGTCCTGTCCCCTTTGGAGTATGCAATCGGTAAATACAATTATTTATTTAAAACAAGTGATGAAACAAAAGTTGAGAACATTTAAAGACTACAATTTGAGCTTAGTATTAATTTACATAAGAATTTCATGCAGGATATGAGTGTAAGTGTGAATGTATGTGTTAGTGAGTGTGTATATATAATAATATAATATATTACATACGAGGGTGGACGCGTGCGTGCGTGCGTGTATGTGTGTGTTTGTATAGTCTGTTTGGATTTGTTTTTTGAGATTGAATAGGTACTTGTATATTATATTTAAATTTAATGTGGTTGGTGTGATTGTAAGTGTGTATTTTAAATATATATAGTTGAATAAATATTGGCAGACATTGCATGTACATAGATTTAAATTAATTAAATTAGATTTAAATTAATTAATTAAAATAATATGTTAAGATTTTATGGCAAGAATTCCTCGGTTTCATCATAAGATTTGTTTTGGAGAAATGACCTGAGTGTATTTTTGCATTTAAAGTGAGACAAACCGTATATGGGGCAACTTAAGTTTATTTTATTGTATAGGTATGGACCTAAGTAAAAGAAAAACCTTTTAGTAAATGAAGCACGTGGTTTTGGAACGTTACATATTTTATCTGTACGACGTTTGGACATTTTTATGAATGGAGTATTTTTGTGTTGCGTGAGTACTGCATGTAGTATGTATAATTGTCTAACATTAAGTACATCGCACTTATTGTACAGTAAGGTGGACGCGAACATTATGGGCCTAAAAGTGGCAACTTTCAATATGGCCCTATGGGCTACTTCTAGTGGCTTCAGGAACGTTTTCGCTGCAATTTTATAGTCTTACCTTTCAGAGTTTCCAGGTAATTTAAAAAAACCTTATGTCTGTATGCGTTATTGACGAATTCATACAACCAAAAACAGCACAATATTTCCTACTAGTCATTTTAACTGATTTTTAGAGAAAAAAAATCGCGCGGTTATTGTTAAAAAAAACAACAGACCGTCCGTTCGACACTGCGGTACAGCCGTGACTGTCTGCGCCCCGAGCGCACCCCGAGATCGAGGCGCGTAGGTATAGCTCGCGTTTCGTCCGTTTGTATGAAGTTGGAGTACTGTATTATAATTGTACCGTGCCGAAAGTAACGACATCTATAAGTATCGACTGGCGAAATTACATGACGTACACACGTATTATACGCCTAAATGAAGTGTACGTAATGTTGTTAAAATTTTAGAACAAATAAAAAACCATTGTATTACGTTTCATTATTTTCGTAACATTCCAAGGATTGTCCACTAAGATTGTACCGCCTGGATAGAACACTCCGCGCAATACCTTGGACAGCGACGCTCGCCTTATATATGTATTCGTTGCACATAATACAAGTACTTATTTTATACAGTCCACTTTATTTCATTTATATACCTAAGTCAAAGAACCTTATGGACAAAATCTACAATAACTCCAACGATGAGCCTTGAGTGACTCATTTTACCGTGGGATAGTCATGCTTGATCATAGTCATGATCTTAGAAAAACCATGATCTCACAGAATACCAGTGTTTAGCAATAATTTTCTTTGTTTTAAATCGAGTAAGTGAGTTTACCGGAGCTAACTTATCATAAAAACAAACGAAAATAAGCATGAACTGTTTCGAAAATCATCAACACAACAGTTTTTTTGTATTTAAGTGAAACTACACAACAACACAAAAAATATGTTTACACGAAGATAATATATTTAGCCGCCCAAATATACTGCGTATTGGGCGTCCTCTACACGCTCATATATAGGCATCAATACATAAACTCACGCCTATATAACCGGCGAGGGGTAAGCAGATGAGTATTGAACGGACACATTTTACCAGATACATATAATTTAGGATATAATTTAGTTCCACTTACGTGTTAGAGGCAGATTTTTTACTTATTACCTTCAACCGACCACTTTATGGATTAGATGAGTAAATTGAAAGTATTTTGAAAAGTAAAATAAGATATTTAGTATATAATATATATTATATGAAGGAAAAAAGAAAAGTATATAATATGTGTATTCTACCATGTTTATTATACGGGTGTCAAACTTGGGCAATGACGGAACAACTGGCAAACAAAATAAAAGTTTGCCAAAATAGTATTGAAAGAAGTACAATAGGAGTTAAAAGAAAAGACAGAGAGAAATTAAAAGACATATAAAGTAAAACAAAATTCAAGAATGCATACACAACATACAAACAATTAAAGTGGAGGTGGACAGGACATATGGCGAGAGAGAAGAAAGAAAAATGGACAAGACTGATAACAGAGTGGTATCCAATAGATGGCAAAAGAAACAGAGGGAGACAGACGAAGAGATGGGAGGATGACTTCAGGAAAATAGCGGGTCCAACATGGATCCGAACAGCAAAGAATAGGACAGAATGGAGATCTTTAGAGGAGGCCTTTGTCGGAAGACAAGTTGAAGAGTGAATACCGTTTGCCTAACGCAATATACTATAACAGTTAATTCATTAATAATAAATTAATTAAGATAGTAAATAGTTACGAGTACTAATAAAGTTAATAAGTTAGTTAGGCACATATAGATATATTTTTGTAATTTAAACTAAAAACGAAGGCTTTTTATTTTATTTTTATTTATTTATTATATATTATATTTATGAGATATCTTCTATACAAATAAATAAAATTGAAGAATCTGTTTGTAATGTCAAAATAATAAGTTTTTTTTCATGTGAGCATGAAACGGTTATTTTAATATCATAATAATAATAAAAAATGCAGAATAAGGTCTTGGTTACATTTTGTTTATGATTTGTTTATATCTTATTGTCATAATATACCTTTCGAAGAGTGAAAGAATTCTCAAAATCGGATTATTTTCGGTTATGTAATTAGTAACAGGTGTTATTAAATGATTAATAAATCATATGATTTAGCGAATGTGATTGTGATTTTCTCCTGACTAGCTTTCCTTTCCTCATTTTAAGGAACTAAGTACAGTAAAAAAACTATTCGAGGGGGTTAGATTCCGTAAATATACTGCGAATATAGAAACCATGCATATAGAAGAGTTATTTTTATACATAGGATTATGGGCTTATACAAAAAGGACATAATCACAGGTGTAATAGCATTCAAAAACATACCTTAGGTAGTGTGAATAAGTTATGTTTTACTTAGAGATTAACCCACTCGTTCCTTCTCTTTAAAAAAACTATCTCGGTAATAAAGGGTGCCGATGCATTACTAATGGATAAAACCAAAAGTAAAATCATTTTAAAGAGTTCCATGAATAAAGACATTTTTAGCATTGTAAATACAGGCAATCGGTAGCAATTTCATAAACCGCGAACAGTGAAAATTCGGGAACCGTGAATGACCACGGGATTACTATTAGTGGGTAAAGTGTTTCAACAATATCAGAAACCATGTCCTTTAAATTCCTTAGAAAAAAGATAGACTACAAAGGTCGTACCCCATCTATAAACGCAATAGTCAATGACTTCGTAAAAGACATTGACAAGGTAGACCAACAGCCAATAAGTGACGTAAAAAAAGCTTGGATTTATGACTACTACTTAACATCACGTCTCACCTGGCCGTTTCTGGTATACGATATAAACCAGAACCAGTCCAGAATAGTTGGATTGGGAAATGCTAAATACAGACAGACAAAGAGATAACAAAATCGTTCCTCGAAAACGAGACCTACAAGGTGCACGCAATGAACTTAGAAATGCAGAATAAATGGTTAACTGTAGGAGAATTTTGTATCCCACCAGCTTTGAAATGGCGCGAACTTTTGTACGATTGGTCACCTGTCTTATTAAAATTTTACCTAAACGCCTTTCAATTATCCGATCAAAGTAACCCAGTAAGGTAGGGAAAAGCTACAGAAAAGGCTTGTACGATGTGCAGTGCGAAAATAGGTACAGCCAGGCAGTGGCGGCTTTAGCCGTTGCGAGGCCCGGGGTGGGTAGAACATTGCGAGGCCTCGGGCTGGTAGATCATTGCGAGGCCCTTGTCTTTGTGGAATTAGTTTTAATGCTGATACTTGAAACAAAAAAATGCAGTGCAACACATACTGCTGCTCGAACATAAAAGCACAAACCGAAGACAGTTGCCACTAACAGGTTGTCAATATGAGTTTTAGACTGCAAGGCGTAAAGCACTATTTCTACTTGTCGCGAGTGCGAAAGGCTCCTGCATGAACGAGGCCCTGGGCGGTTGCCCTGCTCGCCACCCCCAAAGGCCGCCTCTGCAGCCTGGCACTTACTGACAGGTTGTAAGGCGCTATTAGACCGAGGTCATTATTCACGTGGCCATGATAGAGTATTATAAATCATACGTCAAGCTATAAGTTTATCACTGGCGAGAGCAAAAAAACGCACCCGCCAGGGGTATACCAGCTAAATCCCTCTATAAGCTTCAGTAAGCTCTTTTCTTAAACGAAAATCCAAAGCAGCATTGCTTGGCTCGTTTCAAATATGGTTAGGTAGGGGGTAACACAGCAGACTGTGGAGGTGAGCGCTAACGACAAGGAGTACTTCCTAAGCCTACTCCTGGGTCGCGATTCCCAGGCGCTGTCGAAGTCGCATGTGTTGCCCCCATCTATCACGCGATGGACCCGGCACCCTCACGGTGAATCCATGGAACGCTAAGAAATCAGTCTACTGTCAGTTCACTGCCGTTTTTATAAGAACTTTCAAACCTATTTCTAATGATTCTGCTATTCAGGGCAGATAATCCTAATCAGTCAAATTTCAAAAAATTGGTATAGGGTTTCTTTAATTATAACTGGTATAACTAAACCATTTTTGACTTTTTTTTATACATGTTAACATATAAATAATAATATGTAGTAAAATATTAGTAATATTTTATGTTGTTCGTAATTATAATAAAAAATAATAAATGTTACTCACCGTCCTTGAGGAACTATGAAGACAGCATATTTGTTAATCACTTGTGAACGTTTCTGATCAACAACGTAAATTGTATAACGTGGTGTCTCTGTGCCTGGCTGCATCAAGTCTAATGATACCTACAATACAAGATTTGTAGTAGTACTTTATGGATATTTAAAAATACATCAAAAAATTGTCTATGGGTTTTCTTAAAAAAATTATACAGGTGGCATGCAGATCATATTAGAATTTGCAATAATAGCAACACAATGAAAGCTCTCTTTTTTAATCTTTCAGTCAGAGATATATTATTATATATAGAGATATATAGAGATAGATATTATTATAATCTATAAAATATTTAATGAGAAAATATTATAACATATTTATTTACTTATTATTCTTTCTATTCCTCACAAATATGCATACCTCATCATCATCTAAGGTTGTCTTTGCCAATCCATTGGTGACAAAAGCTGTGTCCTGTGCCGACTTAATATAGGTCTTCAACTCTTCAGGTGTTTGAAGTCTCTGCATCTTGTCTCCAGCCATACAAACTTCTAATATCTGAAGTATACAAGAAATTTTGATTTCAATTGTATAAAACTAATCTCCAAAATAAAAATAATACAATATAAAAAAGTTATTCCAATTACCTGCTGAGACATTTCTTTAAACTTTGTAGCAATGACAATAAAAACAGGTAAAGTTGGACCATCAGTGTTCTCTGCATTTTTTTCTTCAGCTTCATGGCATCTTACCACTCTGAACATCCAAGATTTGTCACAAAAAGTTTCCAATAGCTTACTAAGAATGTGACTTTGCAATAACGAGATACAAACAAAACGGCCTCCAAGCTTTAAAACTCTTTTAATTTCAGAAAAATATTTGTCTATGCTCTGTTTTGTTTCTTTAGAATCATCTGGCATTAGAGCATCAAGAGTCCCTTTGTCTAAAACTACACTAAATTCTTCATTATTGAAGGTTGTGTTCATTGCATCCATGCAGAGGAATTTCATACTCATTCTGTGTGCATTTATTGACTTCATTTGCTTGATAACGATCTCTGATACATCAATATTTGTAATATTTACATAGCCTACATCATATAAGTCAGCACTTAAACCGGAGTTACCGCATCCTGGTATCAAAATATTGTCCTTCTGTTTTATATACTTATGCAGCTGACCACATAGTTCCAAGTATTCACCATACCTGTGGAAGACCGGATTTTGGTTAACTAACAGGGTCCTTGTTATACATTTTATTAACAAATTATTGTATATAATTTACCATTCGAATGCTTTATTTCCTCGTTTTTTAAAGAATTTATTCCAATAATCCTTTTCGCTGAACTCTTTGTGGCTCTTAGGCAGTAAATTCATTTTTCAAAGTATCTATTTGTAAATACGAAAATTAAATACACATGGTCTTTCCAGTTTGTTTTTCTGTCAATGTCAATAAATCAAAGATTGAATTAGACTTTCTAATTTTTTTAAGCTCCATTGTTTGGACAAGTACCGATTTCACTTATTTTTTTGGGGAAATAAAATCTTGATTAATCGATGACACGTACAATCTAATTTTCCAAGCGTACCTTTAGGCGGGCCTAAAGGTACGCTTGGAAAATTAGATTGAAATGCCCAAAGCAGAGAGGAGAGAAGATGAGAGATGTGCCACGAAGCTGGCAGGTTATTTCCACCAAAGCGGAGAGGAGATGCGTGGCGGAGAGGAGAAGTTAGCTGTGTGTAGCAGAGAAATTAGCTGTGAGAGCTCGAAACCAGTCAAGTACTGTGCTGTACTGTACTATCAAGTCCAGTCAGTCAAGTTACTGCAGCTACGGCAGGATGACGTCATATCGTTACGATAGTTATATCTTAATTTGCTTGAGGAAGAGTAGTTAGAGGTTGAAGAAATGCGAATAATTCTTCAATATTTAAATTATCGACGGCAATATAGATTCTAGATTAGAAACAATAAAAAATGACACAGTCACTGCGAATATGCCACACTATTTCAAGAGTTTAGCGAGCGGTAGCGAGGAACGGTGCGTGTGAGCGCGGGCACCCGCCCTGCCGCTAACTACGCACATCTCGGCTCCGCCGCGCCGCTTGCTCACTCCCGGCACAAAATTCTATGGAAAATGAGACATCTCTGCTCTCCGCTTGATCCATTTCCACCGAAGCTAAGCGGAGAGGAGATGTGGCAATAACGAAATCTGATTGGTCATTCAAAACACATCTCCTCACGTCTCCTCTGCTCTCTGCTTTTTTTTATTTTATTTCTAAAAGATACACTTACAGATTACTGCCATTACATGTTACAGGAAACAGATGATAGATACATATAAAGTCTAGACAGTAATCAAAATGTAGCATACACAACATGAAATGGCAAAATACAAGGCATATGGCAAATACAAATGCTTGCCACGCTTAATCATCACTAACACTACTCAAGTTCATGTATCGACAACATAAGTAAAATTAAAACTAAATTATTAACAAAAAAGAAAAGAAATACTTACTACGAACATAGAGCATTTATTATGTGTGTTATGACCCTCTTGTACTGGGAAAATCTACCATTAAATACCATCCACGTCTCGTTATATGTGCGACACATCCTTACTATCGGGTTAAAGAAAGAGGTGTTATTTTTATAAATTTGTATTAAAAATACATTGGGATAACGTGACCTGTGTCTGGTGTTAATAGAGATCGCAAACAGCAGACCAGGCGCATCGATAGTGGAGTGAATAATTTTGTGGAGGCAAAGGAGATCATACCTTCTACGGCGGGCTTGTAGCGAAATCATATTGAACTCAGCCAACCTGTCACTATAGTCCTGTAGTGATCTACCATAGCTGAATTTGCGGGCGACGTATCTCAGACAGCGCCTTTGAACACTTTCTATGGCATCTGTATGAACCTTATAAAAAGGGGACCAGTTGGACAACAATATTCTAGGCCGCTTCGGACAAGGTTAGAGAAAAGAGCCAATACGCTTTGCTGTTTTCTACAATCTCTTGTTGACCTTATAATGAAACCCAAAAGTCTACGGGCTCTATTTATTATATGCTGGTAGTGAGGACGGAAAGACAGTTGCTCATCAAAGAGCACACCTAGATCTTTAACTTTATCCTTTCTCTCTAACCTTTGGCCATCAATAGAGTATTCAAAATCAAGCATACAACGTTTCCTAGTAAATGTGATAAAGCAGCACTTTTTCACATTTAGGCTCATGTTGTTGTACGAGCACCAGTCACAGATAACTTTTAAGTCATATTGAAGAGCCACATGTTGTCTTTGGTCTCTGATATTAGTAAAAATTTTGAGATCGTCGACGTACAAAAGAGAGGGGCAAGATAAACGGCTGACAAGATCATTTATAAACATGATAAAGAGAAGTGGGCTTTGGTGGATACCGGGCCTCAATCATCAAGATATAACTTAATGACAAAGTTTCATATTTAATTTAGGTGCCAATACAGTTGTTTATTATCATTTCATAATTTATTGATAAAGATTGCTTTTTATTAATATAACATAATATTATATTTTTCAAGTTTTAATACTGGACGTACTATGGGAAATTAAAAAGTCGTAGTTGATAAAATTCAATATCTTGCTACTTTCTTGGCTAGATAAGATATTTCTTTATTTATTTTAATACTTTTTGCACAAGTATGAATTGTAAAATGGTGGACATGATTAAATTATAAATGACGAATATGTTTAAATTATTAATTTGTTAAAACTAACATTATGCTTATAGAAGATATGAATGGTTTTAGGTTCGTAGCTGAATAAGTTCTCTAAGATCCTTCACCTTGTACCTATACTTTTCGACTTTTTAATAAGAATTACGCTACCAAATAATAATCTAGTAGCGTAATTCCTACTGAAAAGGAGAAGCATTAAACGCATCATTGTTGCAAGGTCGTTTGCCGGTTTAACACCCATTGGTATTCTCAGCAATTCCTTTCTTTTGACACCCGTATTGTAGGAAAGCATAAAATACATAGTCAGAAATCTTGAAAAGTCCGTCATATAGGATTTAGAGTGACGTCACTTTATTTTGCAAGTTTTTCTCAGCGAGCCCTTGCATTTGATACCCATATTGTAGGAGTGCATTAAACATAACTGGTCCGCTATCTTGGGTGTTAAGCTAACCTAATCAAATAAAGCTAACCTAACCAAATATCCTGTGTCGCGGGGACATAAAGAACACCCAGACTTAGAACAACAATTTGTAGATCACACATAGTGTCGTCCCATGTGTCCTTCAACACTCAGCGTGTGGCGACCACTTAAACCACTACGCCATCAGTGCAGTCAAGTCTTTGTTTTAAACTGACAACTGAGATTTTTGAGTTTCTGAGTGTCATTTAATGAAATGAGTTCTGTAATTATTTAAAATAGTGCTTATTCACGCGTTTTTTAGATACGCGCATCTTGTGATGAAAGAAATACGTATGTATGTAACATGTCAAGTAGTTGCAATAGATACTGTTTTGTTTGAAGTAATTTGACGTTCTAACTTAAATAAAGGAATAGTGAAACTGAAACTACACATTAGACTAGCAATCGCAAAAGAATTGTTAAATTTTATAATGTGGAACCACTTTTATACATAGACAAGGCAATAATATAACAACTTGGTTAAAGCAATTAGAAAGGGTTTTATTGTAGTTAAAATACAATATTTAAAGAATACATTATGTATGTATGCAAGGAAAAAAACAGTTGAGTAACTTCTAAACAGTCAAATGTAACTATAGTAACCACAGCCATAGATAAGTTGTAGGAAGATATGTAGTCTCTTCACAAGAATAAACAAATAATTATAAGTGTGTATTTTATTAATATGGAAACGAACTCTGTAATTGCGCCGACAGACCAATAGACAAGCTCTATGGTCAGTTCTCAATCACAATTTGTACAAGCTATGTATAGACTAGTATAGAGTTCAAGCTGTCAGAGTCAGTTTTATAATCAAAATCAAAAACAGCAAAAAGTGTGGATGCGTACTTATACATTGTTTTGTTATGTGTGTGTGAGAAAGTGTGAAATTGTTTGTGATTTTTATAACAATTATTAGTATTTTCTATTAAATTTCTGTATTGAATTAGAAGAACATACATAATGGCGTTCGCTTAAAAAAAAATGACTTTCCAAGACTATAATGAACTAAAGTCTTGGCTACAGTATTTTGGGGACTAACACAGGAACGAAAACACAAAAATGGACAAAAGTACGCAAGATAAATGGAAAGCTTTAGCTACAATAAAATCTTTTGATTTAGGTGAGTAATTTTGGGCCACAACTTCTTTATATAGAAAATAAATAAACACGAAGTCCCATAGCCTTGAAGCATGTGTTACGTCAAAACGATCGGTGTTTATATTCTAATCTTGTATCTATTGTAATCCATTACTTGTGTTTATATAATCACATGTTAGATAGACATTTATGCATCTGCAATATTTTAGTATCAGTCATGAGTTTGTCTATATTTTGCGCCCTTCACATAAACGTATGACGAAATCTTAGGAAATCTTAGAATTGAACATCTTAAAAAGTGCACTTTTAAGGGCATTCAGGAGTTTAACTCTAGACTAGAGTAGACTATATACTATAGTAGACTATATACTAGAGTAGACTATCGAGATCTAGTTGTAGTTAAAATACTATACTAGATCTCAGTGAGATTTACAAAAACGTAAAACGTAAGAAAAACGTTTTTTATAAAAAATATATTTTCCTAATTTTAACTGGATTAAGTAATTGCTCTTGGTTAATAGAATACATTTTGGCAACCCAACTGCTTTGCTATTCATTTGCTTAAAATTTATAGGAATGTGAAAAAAAAAACCTATATCTCTATGCTATTGTAAATATTTTGTATTGTTGTCTGCTCTTACAAGTTTTTTCTTCAAGTTTACTTTTACTCAACAACTCCCGCACTAGGTGAATATCCCGTGTCGCGGGGGACTTCACAAACATTCATGAAACGGACACAAAGAACAACCAGACTCGGATCAACAATTTGTGGATCACATAGAGTATTGTCCCATGTGGGGGATTGGACCCACAACACTCAGCATTGTAGTAAGCGGCGTGGCAACCGTTTAAACCACTACACCATCCGAACATTCATAATAGGAGTCATTATAATAATTCATAATAATATGAGTATCTCTCCACAACAGTTTAATGACAGCATTTGAACAATTATGTATGCAAAGTTTATAATTATCTGTTGAGTGAGTATTTAAGAAGTGAAAGTTCAATTAACAAATTCATTTACATTATTTTAGTCAGGTTGTAGGTTTTTCTGCCAATGGACTAAATAGACTCAATTCCTTAGTAAAAAAATCAAA